ATGGCATATATATATATATATATATATATATATATATATATTTATATATATGCACATCGGAGTGTTATGTATATGCCGGGCGTGTCCGGGCCGTTCGTTGGCCTTTCCTCGGATTTGATTTCCTTTCGAATCGCCGCGTATTCCCGACTCGTCCGCGCAAGCTGCAGCGATGGAAACTGGACTGACTAGCTTTAACGGCGCGCGTCTCAGCCTCGTGGCGGCGAGATGGCCGTACGTAAGATCCACGTAAATGTATATAGACGAAGGCGACCGTTGGTCACCACAGGCGCGAACCGCGTGTACGTGCGCGCAATCGCGCTGTAGGACACGCGCGTGTGCGTACGCGCGAGAGGGAGAGAATCCCTCGAGAATGCAAGCGCGTCGAATCGTCGTGCGTCAAATAGAACGCGACGAGGAGGAGCGCGGCGGCAGCCTGCAGATACCATTGTGACCGGTTGCATAAACCCGCCATCTTGGTATCCTCAAGGACGCGCATCGAATCCTGAGGTCAACGCACCCGACTCACATCGCCCGCCCTTCGCCTCCTCCTCCGCTTCGTCGTTGACTTCTTTTTCTGAACCTTTCCTCTCTCTCTCTCTCTCCCCCCCTTCTGCCCTCCCTCTACCACATACGTATACCCCTTTCTCTCTCTTTCTCGCTTCCGTCGCGCCTCAGCATCGCGTTTCTCTCGCTCTCGCTCGCGGGTGAGATGGAGAATCTCATCTGGCCACGAGCGGGATGTCACTGCCATTAATCCCGCCGATACGGCCCTGGCCAGAGTTGGTCGAGCCTCGGGCCGTCTTCCTCATTTTCTTCTTCTCCTTCTCTCTCCCTCTCTCCGGCTTCTTCTTCTACTTCTACTTCTCTTTCTTCTTCTTCCTCCTTCTTGTTCTTGTTCTTCTTCTCTTCTTCTTCTTCCACTCCTTCGATCTTACGACCTCCGCTTCTCGTACAGAATGATAAACGCAGGATATTCCGCGGGCACCATCGACCGCATCCCCGTATAAAGTACTAGGTCGTTAGAGCCGGCGTTTAATCTCGCGCAAAAAGCAAAACTGTGAACTGGACTGATTAGAGACGCTTCGGTGAACAATCTTTCAATCGATCGCGCACTCTTGTAACTTTCTAACCGAGAGTGTCAACATTCGAGTTGTTCGATATCGGGAACCGGCGATATCACGATCAAACTCTGAGCCGTACGCGAGAATGCGGTCTGCCGGCGGTGTTACGGCTGTTCCGCCTTTAATTGCCGGTATAGAACCGCGGAAGGAGCCTCGGGAAACAACCGGGACTTTCCGCGGGAACATCTACCGCCGCTAAAACATTAAAATACGCTAATGCCGGCTGGAACGTGTTCCAGCATTAAATAGTTTTGCGAGGGTACGTGAAAGAAAGAGTCGAGTCGGTGAACTCTTATCGAGGGAGTCGACCTCTCTTCGCGTAAGGTCGACCACGGGAATCAACGGAGGAGCAAGGGAGGACGGGGGAGAGAGGTGTTAAAGTCTTCGAAGTAATCGTACGGTGAAGCAAGAGACAGGTAAATCGCGGTGACCGGAGAGCCGAGCGCGGGAAGAAAAAGAAGAGGGATCAGGAGCCGAGGAAGAAACGAAGGGGAAGAAAGAAGAAGGGGAAGGAGAATAAGAAAAAGAAGAAAGCGACGCGCGAGGTCTGACCCCGGCCATCTTGGCCCGCAGGGTTATTCTATTTATATCTCGGACTTAGCTATATTTAGCTCACGGGACCCTGCAGGAAAGCGAACGACGAAGGAGAAAGGGAGAGTCTAAAAGGGCGGGAAGGGCCGGCGGTGACGTGAGAGGAGCAGGGCGGCTGAGCGGGACCGAACGATCGCCCCGTCCTAACACGAGAGAGACAAGGAAGACCGTCATGGAAAGGCAAGTCGCCTACTACGGGTATATTGGTAACTCGCCTGACGAATACATTAGCACTCCGAATCTGACTATCTCGCGTGCTTTTCGCCACACCGTCACCTACGCGCGTGATATCGCACACTTTTATCCCGCGCTTTCTCTCTTTCCGTACGTGCGTGTAACATATCGACTCTAGCACTTAGGCCCGAGCAATCGTGAGTTCGCTCGCACTTTCCGACACAAACGTTGCGACGTCGTCCGAGAATTTATTTATCGATAATGGCTGATGAGATGACGCGCTAATTCTGAATTTGTACATACATTTGTACCTTTTGGCAACTAGAAATTAGTATGTGTAACGGAGAAAGCGAGTTTAAGCGAAAAGCAAGAAATAATTGATAGAAATTAATCAAGGGGAGAGTCGGTATACCGAATACTTACGACGACGTGCGCTGATCTTTCAATCGCACATTACATATATCGCGTTGTGTAAAGGGATTTAGATTTAATATTAAAATAGGGCGAAATCGGAGCTATCGAACGGTAGTATATCTTCGGCCCTGCTGCGAAACGGTAGAAATTGCCTTTCTTATAAAGTTAATAGCAGCCTTCTGAAATTGCTGCTTCGCTTTGCTCAAGTCTTCATTACCCATCCCCGGAACAATCGCGATATCGCGAGACGTGTAAAATTCATGGCGCGAAAAGGGGGAGTCACGATAGACGCTTCACCGACTTCGGGCCGGCTATATGCCCGTGTCGGCCTATCGAGGTTATCGCGGTCCTCGCCGTAAATTCAGGCCCCAACAACCCCGATTACTCTCTCGCTCCTCCTCTCTCGCACCCTTTCTCCACCTTACTCTCATTCTTCCTTCTCCTCCTTCACCTCTTCTTCTTCTTCGCGGTCCGACGAACTCTGGTCGCGTTGGTATTTCGCGTCCGAGAGGAGATCCTCAGCTTCCACCGGGTACGTGCTATGAAGGAAGCATATACGAGGGACGAGCACGAAGACAGCCATATATCCCGACCGTACACACTGGCCGCATACCAGACGTGGACACTTACAACCGACGTAAGGTCCGTGCCACGAGTAGGACCGAGCATTCGCGGTGGCCGTCGCGAACTGCCGTGCTAAATCATCCTAGTCGAGGGGGTGTCCCACTCCGAGGAAATGCCACGTATACCTGCGCGAACGAAGGCCCCTTCCGCTAGGTATTCCCCAGGAAATGGAACGTCAGAAAGTGGAGGAACGGGAGTGCGAAAGAGGAAGAATTACGCGCGAAGCTTTGGGTGCATTGTGTGTGTGTGAATGTTTTCACGATCGATTA